CCGCTTTGTGTTGGTTCCGTTTTTAGGGGAAACGGATCAGGTCAGTAACCTTATGGTGAGTAACATGAGTAACCCGTCCACATCAGCATGACACCAGCATACTCTCTCTCCTGTAAAGCCTTTAATTTTCCCCTCTTTAATCTTTGACGGACGATTTCTCACTCGTTTTAAGTCGAAATTTAATTTTTTTGCACAGTTAGATCAGATTAATTATGCTCTTCAAAATGATATCCACTTGTATATATTTTTCGAACAAAAAAAATTGAGTCATTTTTTACGAGTCTATACCATATGGTATTGACTGGTATTGAAGAAAGAGCATACCTATGGTTTGAAAAGCGTATCATGTTGGTATGAACAAACTAAGACTAAAGGATGGTTGAATACATGATAGTAGAAGTATATTAAATGTCATTTACGACTTTTAACATTGTGTACCACAAGATACCACCCGGTGGCATTGTATGGTAATGTGTGGTATTTTTTGCTCCTGTAATTTGTTGACCCAGAAATTTGTAGATCCAATAGATCATGATGAACTCGTCCCTTTTGTACAAACGTTTTCAAAAACGAATTAAAAACGAAGAAGATATCATATGGTATGCAGTTGGTACCGAGATGCCAGAATTTTTTTAATTTTTTTCTCAAAAAATATTGAAAATTGATCTCATTTTGTAGAGCACGATGAACTCGTTCCATCTGTGCAAAAAAAAAAACCCCGAGTTAAAATGAAAAAGATATGAGTCGATTAAGAAAGCTAGGGAAAATAAAAAGGACCTTTAATTCTCCATCCTTGGATCTGGATTTTCTAAATGAAGAGTCCAGATTTGGTTATTGATGTGTGGGTTATGCACCCTATCTTGAGCCGTTTTTAGGGGTGCTTAGTTTGCGTATTTATAGAGAAAATACAATAAATCTTCGAAAATATTAAAGCATCTACATTGGTATTGCATTTTCAGTTGCAAATTGGCATAGTTGTTTGCAATTGCAAAACCAATTGCATTGATGTGGCTACCAATGTCATATTTCCAAGCTTGCAACAAATGCAGTTCCATATGCAAGTCAAAAAAGATTTTTAAAATGGGGTTTTTTTATTTTATATTATTTTTTGTTCTTTTTTAATTAATTTTCTATAATTTAAACATAATATTTAATTATATTTTCAATTGCAATTGCAAGTTAATTGCATTGATGTAGGTGAATGAAATGTGGATTGCAAAAAATTTGAGTTGACAATAAAAAATACAAATGCAATTTCTTTTACAATTGCATTGATGGAGATGCTCAGTCAAACTATTTAAATAATAAAATATCATTAATTCCTTTATAATATTTCAAAATTTTAGTCATTGATATGTTATCGTTAATAATAATATTGGCGGCGCTCCACATCACATGTCACGTCATATTTCACAAAAAAACGAGTTAATTTAATTTTTAAAAGTAACTAAAATTTATTAGGTAAACATGTCAATTTGAAAAAATATTAGCAAAACTTTTGAAGATAGAAAATATTAACAAAACTTATTAATATTGATGAAATATTAGACAAATCTCATCTGCAACATGTTTTGTGAATCTTAACACACTCTTTCGTATATCCAAGTTAATAGTGCAATCCAAGGTGGCATTAAAATCCATTGTAGTAGTCGTCGAGACGAGTTCCACAAAAGGAACCTCGTCTCTCTGTAATGACAGTAACATATCAATGACTAAAATTTTACAATATTACGAAGGATTTGGCTTTTACTTTGTATTTTCAAAGGTTCGTTTGACTATATTTTGTCAAAGTTAAAAAGGTTTGGCTAATATTTTGTCAAAATTGAAAATTTTGGATGAAGTTGTATATACCTTTTCTTTTTGTTAACCACCACATCACATAAACTCTTCCAACTCAGCATCACGTTTGCTAGCTCAACATCATCTAACAGAAGTATTAATGAAAATTTACCAATTGACTAATATTTTATAAATCAAAGATTTGACTAATATTTTGTTAAATTTGAGAGGTTTGGCTAATAAATTATATTTATTTAACATCTCAACCATTTTCTGACCAATAGATTATCCGTTTTGGAGCTCCCGCGACATAGTTTTGCTTTTGGGTGCATTGTGGTGACTTCACAAGAGGTCACCCATTTCTCCATCGATCCATACTTAGCATGTTTAATTTAAGGGTTCTTACAAGAACTTCATTCCACTTCAGGATGTGTGTTCTCAGTTGATGTTAGATTGCTCCCTAAGAACCATAGATATCTCTAATGCTTTTTTCGATGTGAGATTTAGCTAAAGTGTTACTTTACAACCCCCTTATGGGACTCAACATCCCCATTGATGTTTGCCTCACCATTGTTCAAGAGGGACAGAGAAAAGCTCTACTACCACTTGTAACATCCCAACCCTTTTCTGCGCAAGTGATTGCCTGGAGAGGTCACCCATCTCATTAACCGGATCCAGTACAATGGAGCATATCTCATCAATAACTCATTTATACATAACCCTCAATAACCAACGGATAATAACCAATAACTTCTTCTCTAATTCAATTTGACGGACTACATCTCATTTGTTTTAAGTTGAAATTCATTTTTTTGCATAGAAATATAAGATTTATCGTAGTTTTCAAAATGATATACACTTTGATGTATTTGGGAACAAAATTTAGTCATATACTACCAGTCTATACCATGGTGGTAATTAATAATTGGTATTACATAAGATTACCATGGTTATATGAAAGTGTAGCAAGGAGGTACAAATATACCATAGTGTGAAATTGTTGTATACGCATAGGAATATACGATAAGGTGGTATATTTGGTTTTGAAATTCTTTTTTATGTAGATCACAATAGATAACGATTGACTCGTCCCTTCTGTACAAAATTTTGTTAAAAAACGAATGTGATACCAACTAGTACCAGTATGGTAAAGAGTGTTACAAAAATTTTCTTCTCGAGTTATATAAAAATATATATAATTTTGAAGATCACAATGATCCCGATCCCATCTATGCAAATCTTTTTTAATTCGAGTTAAACAAAAAAAAAATACAAACCGATTAAAAAAAGTAAGAAAATTAAAACTGTTTTAATCTAACCTTTTATATCTAGTCCTACTTAGCACCAAGGGACCAGATTTAATTGTGCACTTACGCATAATCATGAGTAGGGTTGTTAATGAACCAAGTCGAGTCGAGTTTTGTCTTGTTTCGCTTTAGCTTGTTGATTGACGAGCTAGCTCGAGCTTGACTCTTTTACAAACGAGCTGAGTCGAGTCGAGTTCGAGTTGGCTCATTTATTAAAACCTACTTGACTCATCATTAAGATCAGGTGTTCCGCTCGAGTTAAACTCTATGATAATTTATAAATTAAATTCTAATATTTATATGTCATATATTATACATTTACATTTGATTAATTGATCTCATGCCATATGTGAGACATATTTGTTCTTGGTACTCCAAATCTTAAACATGTGAGATAGAACATTTAATAAACCTATTAATTATCAACAAGCCAACTCATAAGATATAAATCGATTTTTTCAGAAGTCGGTAGTCGAGTTTGGCTCACTATCACAATATCGAGATATCTCATAAGCTCAAAACAAAGAGATTTCACGACTTGACCTCAACAAGCCACCTAGTCGAGTTGGCTCACGAGCATCACAAGCTAAACATGCCTCAAATAAGGCTGGGGTCACGACGACACTCCAGAAAGGAGGCCGGGCAAAAAGGGGGCGAACAATCCATTGCTGACTTCACCACGATCCGAGCTTGGCTCGTTTACAAACGAGGTGAGTCGAGTCAAGTTCGAGTTGGCTCATTTATTAAAACCTACTTGACTCATCATTAAGATCAGGTGTTCCGCTCGAGTTAAACTCTATGATAATTTATAAATTAAATCCTAATATTTATATGTCATATATGATACATTTACATTTGATTAACTGATCTCATGTGAGAGATATTTGTTCACGGTACTGCAAATCTTAAACATGTGAGATAGAACATTTCATAAACCTATGAATTATCAACAAGTCAACTCATAAGATATAGATCAATTTTTTCATAAGTCGGTAGTCAAGTTTGACTCACTATCACAATATCGAGACATCTCATAAGCTCAAAACAAATAGATTTCACGACTTGACCTCAACAAGCCACCTAGTCGAGTTGGCTCACGAGCATCACAAGCTAAACAAGGCTCAACTCGACCTCGACTTTTTAATGAACAAATGAACATTTTTTTCTTCTTAATTGAATGAATTTTTATCGAGTCGAACATCAAATTGTTCATGAGAAGCTTGTTTTATTAACAACCCTAACTCTAACCCCAAATACCCACATATTATGATTTGTGAGCACAATCGCCATCCTTACTTCAAATAATTAACAATCTTTGTTAAATAATCCAACGTTCTTCTCCCTTCGTAAAATCTTTGTCAATGTTCTGTTTTCAGAATTGGACCGGAGGCCGAATTGGAAAAGTTAGCGATTTAGGGTTTAGTGGTTAACCGTTGGTGAATCGTTGATAGAACCGTTCATGATATATAACATATAAAACTTGTATATTACACTAATTTAAGAATGAAGTTATTATTGACCATAAACAAAAGATATCATATATTTTTAATTCAAATTAAAAATTGTGTTGCCAGTCAATAGTGAACAACGTAAAGTCGACAACAAGGTTGGAATGAGAAGATGAAGCATATATAAAATTAATAATTATGGTTTGATGGTCTTAGTTTATGTTAACGTGTTTTTTAATTTTTTTTGTTAAAATAGTGAACTAGTGGACCAGTTAAACCGTGGTGGTTCATCTGACTTTATGTTGAACAGTGAAAAACTGTTTGGTCCATCAATAACCGTCCAAACAATGAAACGGACTGCTATCGTAACTAGTTTAGCGGTTTCACTGGTTCGGCCGTTAATTCGGTTCGGTTCTTATAAGAATGGTCAAATGTCAAATAATCTCAAACGCACCCTTAACTAACGCGCGTTCCGATACCGCGCGTCGACACTTTGCAAAATGCAAATTCCCACCCCACTAATCTAATCCTTCCTCCCCGCACGTCTCTCTCTCTCTTCACTCTTTCTTTTTCTAAATCGAAATTCAGATGGTGGGCTTCTCCTTCCCCTTATTATCATCGCTCTTCTTCTTCTCTCCCAGCTGGTTCTTGTTCTTTGATTCCTTCCGAATCTCAACCTCTCTCTCTGCCCGCGTTCTCTCTTTCTCCATCGTTGATGATTTAATAATAAATAACACCTTTCCCCCAATTCCGTAGCAAACAACCCAACAATAGCAAAGCGAAGAAATAAGCTAGGAAAGAGAAGATCGAAAAGCAGAGAAGTAATGACAGCTCCAAACATGGCTGCCATCACCGCATCCCTCGAGCGTTCCTTCCAAAACTGTTCCCTCAACCACCACCACCACCACGCCGCCGCCGATACCGAGAGATCCTCCAGCTCCGACGAGACCGACGCGCCGGATCATCACCGTCGTCATCAGCAACAGCAGCAACAACAGCGCCAAAACCCTCATCTCCCACCTCTGCATTCTTCGTCGTCATCGAACAACAACTACGACGCAGCTATCGAGCTCAACTCCGATGTCTCCCTCCCTTACCACTGGGAGCAATGCCTCGATTTAAAGGTGCCTCCCTTCTCCTCCTCCTCCTTGGGGTTTCATTGCCCAAACCGATTTTTCTTCCTTCCTTCTGGTAGCTCTTTTAGACAGTCAATAAATGCAGATCTTGCTTCTTTTGGGGAGGTGAAAGCATATAAGGAAACAGTCTGGGGAAACAAAAGGGTCTGCTTCAATTTTATTAAATACTCAGTCTTTCGTCTTCAATCAATGCTACTGTGTGTTCCTTCCTTCATTACTTTGTGTCTTGCATTTATGGATTGAATTGAATGCCCTTCTGCTGCTACATTTACTACTCGTCGGATTGATTGGCTGGGTAGCTCTTTAGAGGAAAAGAAGAGAATTTGGGGAACAAAAAGAACATTTGGCATTTTTCCTTCCCCCCACATTGAAATGCCTCTCCTTTTGATTGATTTCTTTTCACTGCACCTTTTGCCTCCAAGTGGGTTTGGTAAAGGGTCGTTCCTTTTACCCCACTTTCAACTCCAAGGATGAAAAAAAATCAAAAAGAGGATGGAGAAAAGTTTGTATAAAAGGGGTTGTGTCATGTGTGGCCTTCCTTTATGTTCAGTTGCTTCTTAGATATCTATCTGTTTATATTTATCACATTGCTCAGAGTCAATGCAAGGAAGGCTGTTTTGAGATGCATATCATGATTGTGGGTTTTGATTGGCATGGATTGGTTCATGATCTGGTTCAAAACCCAGCATACATTCTAACATAAAGAAGAGAAGCTCTTCTTCTTTGCTTTATATGAATGAGGCCCATGTTACTTGTTTTTTGTTTAATGAATAGCCCCATGTTACTTGTTAAATGTGATAGCTTGTTATGGTATAAAACACTAGTTCTCGTATCTACATTGTGGATATTCTTCTGGATAACAGAAGTTGATTAGCTAGTTGGTTGTTGTGATGAACATGGCAGACAGGGGAGATATACTACATAAACTGGAGGAATGGGATGAGAGCAAATGAAGATCCAAGGATAACACCTCAAGAGTACATGAATGGAGATTACTACTACTCGGATGACGATGATGAAGACGACGATGACGATGGCAGCTCTTCTTGCGACAGCGAGGAGTCATCACCTTGTACCTCGAGAGACCATTACAACAATAACAGTAAGGTGGAGAAAGAAGGTAACAACAATGTGTTGGTTGTTGCAGGATGCAAGAGATGCCTGATGTACTTCATGGTCCCTAAACAGGTTGAGGATTGCCCCAAATGCTGTGGCCATCTGCTTCACTTTGATAGATCTGATAGCAATGGCTCCCCTTGATTAGATCCGGATTAAATATTATTTTTGTTTGTTTCGTCTTCATTTTCGGTTTCTTGAGATGAGGTTGCTCTCTCACAGCTTTTGCTTCTTCCCAGAAGGGGGGTGATAAAAAGATTGGAAAAGAAATGAAAGGAAGGGAACTCATTTGTGCTTTGATAGATTTTGTGCTGTGGAATGATCATGAAATGCGCGACCAATGGAGGGGTTTGATTAGTTTAGTGTAGAAATATGGGGGAGTCTCCTTTTATTCTTTGATTGCACTCTTATTATTATATTAGGTGGTTCCTTTCCATGCTTCCTCTCTTCTCCTTTCCTTTGTTACTTGTTTTTATTTCTTCTTTCTCCTGGGATTCCTCAATTTTCCATCTCCAGTTTTTCTTTATTCCTAGCCAGATCTTTCTTGTTGTTTTGGAGCGTTGACCGAGTCCTACTGAAGGACATTCCAAGAGCTGAGAAGAGACTGGGAGAATGAAACCAAACTTGCTTGTCCCTTTTTTTTTTATCTTTCTCCTAGCTACCTTGCTATATACATTGGCTTGTTACATGGGACTTTTCCCAAATGGTTCATTTGGTGCATTTTGAGTCATTGTGTGTGTAGAATGAGTCATTTCATTATGACTCCTTCCACTAGTCTCTCTCAATGAAATGACATATATAACTGGTTTTTCTCTTTTGGTAAATGAGACATTGTCCATCTAATGACTCACTAACTCCTATGATCCTAGTTGTTCATAGTTTTGGTAAAGTGGTTCATGCATGTCGATTGGATGAGACGAGTCACTAATTCTAATTGGAACGAAGAAGATTTTTTTTTATGTGCTATCGGCTGAACTTGAGAGCCAGGGTCCAGGGATGGAGCTTGATTGTCCGTAAAACAAGGAGACTAGGGCACCTTCTTGTTGTGCACATTAGTCCATAGATGCTCCAGTTACTAAATTGATTTAAGCTGGTCCTCCAATTGCTTAGTGTTCATGTATGTGTAGGCCATTTGTTATGGGGGATCGGAAGTCGCGGTATGTACTTCCTGAAAGTCACAGTCGAATCTTATGAAGATTCGACCATAAATTAGTTCCATCAAGTATCTATAAAAATCATCGTTTGACATTTCAAAAGTCACGATCATGACTGATGAAGATCGTCTCATGAATTAGTTCCAGCAAAGCATCACGTCCGTGACATTTCCCAGCTAGCTGTTTAGTTTTCATGTTGTGCATGGAGTCTTGTTTTGGTAGTTTTTCAAACTAACCCTAAGTAGTCTACGTTGTAAAGGCCGGTTATTGGTGTATATATATGTATATATGTATGTTCTGTTGTAAGCCACAGTGCGGCATATGAGAGAGAGAAAATCAACAACAGTAGTAAGGATTGAAATGCCGTACCATACCGGTGGTTCGACCAGAAAAACCTCCAACTCGAGGTTAAATCGGCAGGTGGTATTTACCGGTATGGAAGCGGTTGAACAACGACTAAATCACGGTTTTAGCAGAAAATACCCTACCGTTGTCTTTTCCGATACAACCTCCGATACGGTATTTCAATCATTGGCTCAACCCATCGAGGTCAATAAAAGAAAATTTTGAGAGCGTCACCTCTCTCGTGAACTAGTATCGATATTCGGAAATGCCACGTAAATCGGTATATCTTTGTTTTAGTTTACGTGGTTTGATTTTCTTTTCCATTTGTTGGCAAGTGATCAATTGCTATGATGTGAAGTTGTCTTTTATAGTGGTAACGTATGTAACAATAGCAGTAGTAACTTACGCGTGGAACCGTGCTAACAGCATGTTTATTGATGAAGTTAAAACGGGCAGGCTGGAAGGAAAACAAACGGCGTTTTCAGTTTAAGCCAAAGGAAACAGAGTGCGCAGCTTAGCTTGCCTTTGGCTTTGCCCATGGATTTTGTATTCAGCTACCACACCAAACCCACAATAACTGCAGGTGTTTGCTTGCATCCATGGAGTTTTATTTTGGTTAAGGAGCATTAAGGGAGGATTTGTCCGATTCAGACACTTTGATATTCTAACGATCATGACCAGATTACGGTGACTGATTCTCGCATCTATTTTGGTGACAGAAAATTCAAGCGGAACGCATACAAACCAATACCATTAAAAAAATCAATATCATATAAATTCATATTAGAAATCAAAAAATCTGTACTAGAAGTTGAGGATTGTATGTCATTGATAATCAACAACAATCCATACCATATATAAATTCTGCTATTGCTTATCAGAAATACCAAACTTGTACCATAAACTTGTGATATTTACTAGTAAAAAAACCCAATACATGTAATCATGAATCATGATCATCACCAAATGGATACCGAAAATTTGATAATCCATACAAGTAACAAACAACATAATCTATACCAGAACTAATGAATGCATAGCTAGTAGCAGCTAGCTTGTTGTACACCAGAAAATTAAGAATACATACTAATTAGAAAACATCAATACACATAAGAACCAAAAGTTGTACTATGTAACATGTTGGAATATAATATAATACTACTATTATGAGCACAAGGAAGTGAATAGTAGGTTTGACGACTTCCTTTCTTCCTTTTACTGTGTAGGGTTTCGAAGTGATAGGATGTATGACTGAATGCAACAAGCTAAGGTAGAAATGAAAGCCAGCTGAAGCAGAATGTCTTGCAGTCGAACCAGCCAGCCAGCCAGCCCGGCCATGTGGATATGAGATGCAACGACGACGACAAGTGCAAGCTGCAGAAGGGGCCGCCTGCCGGCCAGTTGGGTCAGCATCACTAGTCATTTCATTTCTCCCACTATTTTGTATTCCATTCATTGTCCATATCGCCTCAGAAATACATGTTCCTTTTCTACCCTATACGATTCCCTCCTCATATTAGCGCGGCTAAATTACACGTTTGGTCACTCAAATTACATAAATGTTTTATGTTTACCATTCGAATTACTTTTCTTTCTTATTCGCCACTAACTTTACGAATCGTTTCACCATTACTCACCTACCGTTAGTCTCCGTTAAACTCCGCTAACTCCGTCAGTTTTTTTATGACGTGGCAAACGAACAACTGATTGGACTATTAATTTAATGACATGTTAAGTTAAAAAAAAAAAACAAAAATAGGAGCGGCTCCACCTACCCATCTTGTTCTTCGCCTTCCCCAACCCAGCCTTGTACTGGAAAACACAAACCCTCAGATTGAGAAGAATGGTAATAAAGCACAACACATACAACAATTAATTGAAGCAGAAGAAGTCGAAATTCATTATAATCAAAATCCCTAAACACGAACCCTAAGAATCCAGAACTTAGAAGACGAATCGTCAATGAACCTCTAAGCTGTAAAGACACAAAATCTCTCCCGCCGATGAATTTATGAAGCCGCATCCCGATCTCCTCGACGTCGACCTTATTCTTAGTCGCCCCTATATCCACTACTCTGACGGCGACGCTGTTCCCCTCACCATCGCCGAGACCTCTCTCGACTTCGCCCAAGTCTCCACCGACCTCCCTAACGACATCGTCTTGCTCCATCCTCTTCTCCCCAAACGCCTTTTCCTTGAACACCAGCGACCCTCCCTCCATCGACTTGTAGCACTCACACCGGAGGCAGCGATTAGCGACTCATTCCCTCCCTCCCTCAATCAACAACAACAACAATCGCCACTGGCGGGAGTTCCTTCTTCTAGATTCGTCACCGTCGACAACAAAAGCGCGTTCGGGCTTTCTCCACAATCAGATTCATCTGGATCTAGAGATTGAGAGCTGACCGATCCCCTCCCTCCCGCCACACTTCTTCTCCGTTCCTCTAGATCCTCCAACCATCTCGAGAAAAAAGCCACAACCTCCACCGCCTTCTTCTTCTCCTTTCATCCATACATGCCTACCGTATCTCGAAGAAATCCGCAGCTACCTCCGCCTTCGATCTTGCGAAAGGGGAGTTGTTGTTCTCTCCTCAACATCGATCTGAATCGCAAACATGTGGCCTGAGATTTTTTTTTACTTGTTACCATCTTAGAGTACTATGGTGCCATATACGTATTGCTCAGTTTGATTTTCTCCCAGGATAGTGGATTTTTTTTGGGCTGGGGATTCTTCTTGGGAAGCCGGCAGTGAAGGAATGGGCGAAGAAGAAAAGGGTATAGTGGCCACTCGGATCCCAATGTAAAATAATTTTTTTTGAATTTTGAATTTTTTAAAATTGACTTGTAATTTAGTTAACGACGCCAAAAACTTGACACGCCAAAACACAACACCAAACTGCGACCAAGTGTAATCGCAGTCCGGGAATGCAGTAACAGGCAAGTTCTATTATCACCCGGGGTCTAGATCTATTGCTTACTCCGTGATTGTTTATTATCTAGCAACTAATTCGAGTGATTGTTTATTAAAGCAAAAGCAGTAAGAAAGCAGTAAATGGTCCGGTTTTCAAAGTCAGGAAAGAGTCACTCGGGATTGAGTCCCCCTAGCCCCTTGATTAGGTTCAATTGTAATTCCCCTGGGTTGATTCACTGTTGATTAGACTGCGGAAGATCCGACAGTAGCTTAGAATCTCTTAAGCTGACCAAGCCCTCTCAGTCTAACTATCCGGCAGACGACTAGTCTTCACCGGGGTAGAAAGCTGAGGCTATGAACACAGAACTCCACTACTGGCGCCAAAAACACTAGTACAAAGCAATAAACTAGCTAACTCTCGTATAGCCAATCTCCTACTATCGAATGAAGAGGCTCTAACAACCTAATCAGATTCTATCTATCTCAGGTTGCAGCAGAAATTGAGAAAAGCTGATCAGACTCCAATCAATTCAATAAACATGCATCATTCGATTAAAATCAAACAGTATAATCATCCCAAGTTATTACAATCAAATCCCTAAAACCAGGAACTAGGGTTCTTCATACCCAAGTGAGAGAAGGGTTCTACTCCATAGAGAGAGAAGAGAAAACAGTAATCGGAGTAGTCATACTCATAATGATGAGGAAAATCTGCTCTGGGATGATGATTTCCACTCCTATGACGATCTCCAAGCTCGATTCGATGAAAACCCAGATCCAAGATAGCTTCTAGGATGTGTTCTTCGTACTTTCTCTCTCTAGGGCTCTGTTTTTGCTCTGAAAATCCGATTCTCCCACTTTTGGCTCGACATTGGCTCAAAAACCAGAATTTCCCGACTCACGCGGGCAGGCCACACGGCCGTGTGGCTCACCCAAGTGACCGTGCGAGTCAAAACGCACCGTATGGATTAGTTCGGTCCTCAGCCATCTCACACGGCCAGGGTTGCACGGCCGTGTGGATTTCATGGGTTGCCCGTGCGTGGCCTCGGCAAAAACCACACGGCCACTTTGCTCACTTGCACGGCCGTGTGAAAGCTACTTGTGCCCGTGTTTGCTCTCGGTGGAAATCACACGGCCACCTTGCTCACTTGCACGGCCGTGTGATGCCCCGGTCTGCCCGTGCGGCTTCCTTGAAACCTCGCCATTCGTCCGATCTTCGTCCAATCGACCCCAGACTCGCTCCCAAGCCTCCATTCACGTACTAGGACCTGAAATATCACAAACAAGCACCACCTAGCGTGAAATCGGCCTAAAACACGAGAATCAACACCTCAAACGGTATAAGAACGGGGGTAAAAACATGTGTAAATAACGGTCCAGTCATCAATTTCATTTGC